AGTGCCGTGGTAACTTTGAACGGTCACCAAACAAATGGTTGTAAGTCAATGACTACTTGCAACCTGGAGTCAAGATCAAATTGGAGGAAAATTTTGAAGGAGGTTGCATCAGGAGGCCCACCCATGCCCAGTTCCATCCTATTGGGACTCATCAGATGTTATTTTAAGGGGTTCAAACCCTCACCTCAGTATTCAACTCACGAAGTTTTGTGCTTCAGGTGACTATGTACAATGCATGAGCTTTGGAGCTCTTCAAGTCCTGGTCCTCAGTGATTGGAGGAGGTGATATAGAGATGCTCTCTGAGGGGTATCTACACACAGCTTTACCATAAGCCAGGGGTACACAAGCTTGGCTCTTTTATGACTCGTGGACTTCAACTCCTAGAATTCCTGAGCCAGCCATGCTGGCTCAGGAATTCTGGGAGTTGAAGTCTATGAGTCATAAAAGAGCCAAGGTTGCCTATCCCTGCCCTAAGCTCTCAGAGCAGAGATACAGGTGTTACCTTATGTTGTGGCCCCACTGTGGGGTTCTCTATAACTTTCTGGAGGGAGGGGAATTCCTCAGTCTTTACACAGTGGATATCCTGTGTGGGGTTTTCATTTGTACTGACTAGCAGAAGACACCATGGGGGAACTTTCATCCCATTGGGACTCATCATTTGTCAAATAGTCAGCTAAGTCTTTAGAGTGGATTTGGCATTTTTCTCCACCTATCGAGTGCTTTCCAAGGACCTGAGATAGGCAGATGTTAATGTTTGATGGTGTTAAACATATCATTGCAGGTTGTAAGCTGTTCCAAATAAATATACCTTTTGCAATTGACCGATGGTGATTTTGTCAATGCCGAGGATATTATGATTATTTCTTCTTCTTCTTCTTCTTCTTCTTCTTCTTCTTCTTCTTCTTCTTCTTCTTCTTCTTCTTCTTCTTCTTCTTCTTCTTCTTCTTCTTCTTCTTCTTCTTCTTCTTCTTCTTCTTCTACTCCTTCTTCTTCTTCTCCTTCTTCGTCTTCTTCCTCTTATGCTTATTATTATTTTTTTTTATCATTGATCATTGCACAGTCAGCCAGATGTTCAGACTGAATTTGGCATTTTTGTCTACCTATTGAGTCCTTCCCAAGGACTTGAATAGGCAGATGTGGATGTTTGATGGTATTACAGGTATCGTCGCAGGATAAAAGCAGTTCCTAGTAAGGCCGCCTTTTGCAATTGATTAATGGCGAATTTGTCAATGCCAATGGTGTTCAAGTGGTGCTCTAGTTGTTTTGTGATTGCACCCAAGGCACCTTTTACTATTGGTAATACCCTTGCTTGCCTTTGCCACAGTCTTTCTATTTCTTTGTATTTTGTTATCTTCTCCAGTTGTTTCTCGTCTATTCTGCTGTCTCCAGGCATTGCTACATCCACTATCCAGACTTTTTTTTCTTTCTTATCGACAATTGTTAAGTCTTGGGTGTATTATTATTATTATTATTATTATTATTATTATTATTATTATTATTATTTGGTTTACAGTCTGTTTTTTGGTGTTTTTGGTGTTAGTTGGGTTGTGTGTTTTTTTTTTCTGGTGTTTTTTGTGGATTTCTTAAAACTTGTCATGAAGTAAATAACATTAAACAAACTTTTAACAAAGAGGAATAATAATAATTTATTAAACTTTCATGTCACCCAAGTCTAAGCAACTCTAAACCAAGTAATTACAATAGAATCACTAAACACAAGAAACAGAAATAATGCCTCTTTTGTCCCTGTGAGTGAATTGATTCCATGATGATTGAGGACATTCCTAACACATCGGTGGAAATGGCTGTGGGGGAACATAATGGCCTCTACATGGGAACATAACAATATTTTGGGTTTCTCCACTCTGCAACATTTCAGTGGCTTACAATAAAGAAATGAGCCAATGAAATATATCAGCCAGCACCAAATGTTAAAACATAGGCAATGTGAAGAATGTATTATTGCCATGAAATTTTAGGCTGCCAATGTGTGTGATCGGGATTTGGAGGAACATTATTGTTGGTTAGTGTGGATTTTATAATATGTGGCTAACATATTTTGACAATATCTGACAAGTTGCTTTTGTCATAGAGGAAATGAAAAAAAAGCAGAATATTTCATAGATAAAGTGTCCATTTTATGATATTTGCATACTTTGACAGTGACTTTTCCTAACCTTGGGCATACCTCTGGATTGTTTTCAGATAACTTTGATTATTTCCTGGTTAATTTTTTACATCACTCTTTCCCAGCTTATCTTTATACCAAAGAGTTGGACCTAATAGTTTTATAATTAGATTTGCAATTGACCCAGGAGGTGAAGAGGACAAAGAAATAGGCTGTCAGGCTTGTCCCAACTTGGGCATTTAGGAAAGAAAGACTCCGGACTCCATTTGTAGCGAAAGGTATACTTTTACTAAAGCCAAATGGTTGCAACATAAGCAAAGCTGGATCTGAATATTCCTGCTCAAAACCTGCCTTTTCCCCAATTCCCAGGCCCTCCCTCCTTGACGTTCATGAGCGTCCAATAATATTTGAATTTGGTGTTTTAGTAACAGCTTGGAGGCTTGGAGCCTCGTTGATGTAGTTTTGCATTCCGTTCTCACGTTCATGTCCTTGGATGCACCAGTCTGTTCTGGATTGGAACCTCTGACTCCTGTCATCCCTCCCTCCCCACTTATATTCTCTTTCTTCTCCCTCCCACATTTTATGCCAAGATGCCAGCGAAACGATGCAGGCTGAAGCGTTTACAATGGCAGACCTGACATTGAGCCCTGGTGGCGCAGTGGTTAGAATACCAAACTCCAGGCTATTTCTACTGACTGCCAGCTGCCAGCAGTTTGGCAGTTCGAGTCTCACTGGCTCAAGGTTGACTCAGCCTTCCATCCTTCTGAGGTCGGTAAAAGGAGGACCCAGATCACAGGTCGGCAACCTGCGGCTCCGGAGCCGCATGCGGCTCTTTGAACCTTCCCCTGTGGCTCCCAGCCTCCTCTGCCTTTGCAGAGAGAGAAAGAGACAGAGAGAGGCAATTGCGCTTCCCTGCCTCCCTCTCTCTCTCTGTGTCTGTGTGTGTTTTTTGTGTGTGTGTGTATGTGTAAAAGAGAGTGCACTCACAGTGTTGTCCGAGGAGCCGAAAAGCTTACTGGGCGGAGCTCCTCCCTTTGCTGCGTCTCTGCAGGAAGCAGGAAGGGCAGGAGAGAGCTAGCTAGCCCAGCTAGGCTGACTCAGGAATTCTGGGAGTTGAAGTCCATGAGTCATAAAAGAGACGAGGTTGCCTACTCCTGAAGCTTGTTGGACAACAGCTTGAAGCTTGCCAGGTGAGCAGCAGATAGGAGGGGGGGGAGAAAGAGAGAGAGAGAGAGAGAGAGGGAGGGGGAGAGAGAGAGAGAGAGAGGAAAGAGAGAGAGAAAGAAAGAGTGGGGAAGAGGAGTGGCAGACCAAGGGCAAATAGAGAGGGAGGGAGGGAGGGAGGGAGAGAGAGAGAGACCCTTTTGACATCTAAAATGAAGATAACACTGCATATATCCTTTTTTTACCTTTGTGCATATGTAATTTTATTCTCTTAAAGCATTCTATTGGTGATCATTATTTTAATAGTATGGATATTCCCAAGAGTCATATTTTTACTTTTATTTTTAACGTGTACATACACACACACACACACACACACACACACACCTATAATAAAGGTAAAAAAGGATATATGCAGTGTTATCTTCATTTTAGATATCAAAACGGTTTTGCGGCTCCTGGTGTTTTGTTTTTGGTGGGAAACCGGTCCAAGTGGCTCTTTGAGTGTTTTGGGTTGCCTACCCCTGACCCAGATTGTTGGGGGCAATATGCTGACTCTATAAACCGCCTAGAGAGGGCTGTAAAGCACTGTGAAGCGGTATATAAGTCTAAGTGCTATTGCTATTGACCAAGATGCCACATTTTTTCTGTATTGAGTAGGAACAGAAGATATTGCTTATTTCCTAAACTGATGTCTTCTAAACAAGATAGGAAGCCATGATGATTGAGGACATTCCTAACACATCTGTGGAAATGGCTATGGGGGAACATAATGGCCTCTACATGGGAACATAACAATATTTTGGGGTTCTCCACTCTGCAACATTTCAGTGGCTTACAATAAAGAAATGAGCCAATGAAATACTGTATATCAGCCAGCACCAAATGTTAAAACATAGGCAATGTGAAGAATGTATTATTGCCATGAAATTTTAGGCTGCCAATGTGTGTGATCAGGATTTGGAGGAACATTATTGTTGGTTAGTGTGGATTTTATAATTATTGTTTGGAAAGGGAGCTCCTAGCCAGCCCAGCTTGGGCACAGAAGTTGTGCTGAGTTGGGCCTGGGAATCATATCTTTGGAAGAAGGAAAGTCCCCAGAGCATGGTTAAAAAAAAAAAAATCATATAGAACTGTCTGGTCTCCCTGAGCTAAAACAGCCACCCAGGAAAAGAAAAACAGTGAGTTGTGCCATGTCTGCACAGGTAGCCCTCAACTTACAATAGTTTGTTTACTGGTCGTTTGAAGTTACGACGGCACTGAAAAAAGCGAGTTATGACCATTTTTCACACTTAACGACTGTCGCAGCATCCCCATGGTCACATGATCAAAATTCAGACGCTTGGCAACTGACTCATAGTTATGACGGTTGCAGTGTCCTGAGGTCATGTGATTTCCTTCTGACAAGCAAAGTCAATGGAGAAGCCAGATTCACTTAGCCACCGTGTTACTAACTGAACAACTGCAGTGATTCACTTAATGACGGTTGCAGGAAATGGGTCAAACTCACTTAACAAATGTCTCGCTTGGCTACAGAAATTTGGGGTTCGATTGTAGTTGTGACACAGGACTCTGTGTTGAAATTAAACTCTGCTAATAAGGTCTAATAAACTCAGCCATAGAGAGCAGAAATCATGCAATCTCTTCTTTTTTTTGTAATACTTTTAGACCAAATCTGATCTCACTCTTGCTTTTTCTTTTCCCCAGGGGAGAAATATCAATACGATCCTTCTTTTCATGGTCCTATCCAGAACAGGTAAGAAGACTTTGTGCTATGAAGGGATGACTGGAGTGTCCAGTCGTAGATCGAGGCTGCTGGAGCTAAGGAGGAGAGAGAAACTTTAGTTGCTCAGAAGGGAAGGAGGAACAAGGACATCCCTGGCCCTAAAAATACTGTAGGGGGCCCAGGGGGTTAGTTGCAGGAAGGCATGTGCAAGAGATCTACATTTTGTTCAGGATGCTGGGCATCAAGAATTAGATCTGCTGTCTGATACACATTTGGGAACCGTCAATATTTATTTGACCCATGACTGTTGTGCTAGGTTTGCCACCAACCATATTGTGAAGTTCGCAGATGGTACAACAGTAGTGGGCCTTATTCATGATGACAATGAAGGTGCTTATTGCAAGGAGGTTGAGGGTTTGGTGAATTGGTGTAAGGAAAACAGCCTAGTTTTAAGTACTGGAAAAGCCGAAGAGATCATTGTCGATTTCAGAAAAGGCAGACACAGCCATACTCCTCTGAGCATTAATGATTCTACCTGTGGAGATGGTTACCAGCATCAAATTCCTGGGTGTGCAATTAACAAGTAGGCTGGCTTGGTTGCTCAACAGCGAGACACTAGTGAAGTCTCTCTGCATCGCATGAGAAAAGCACATCTTCCTTCCCCTGTCCTGACCACTTTCTACAGAGGGATGATCGAAAGCATCCTGTCATACAGCATCACAGTCTGGTTTGGAAGCATCCCTGCTTCAGACAGGAAGGCGGTGCAGAGAGTGGTGAGGATGGCTGAAAAGTTCCCTCCCTCCCTCCCATCCAGGACATAGCACAGAAGCGTTGCTTGAGCAGGGTCCGCAAGATTGTCTGGGACACGACACATCTCCTTCATGACCTGTTTTACCTTGTTACCTTCTGGGAGGAGACTCCGTGGTATCCGAAGCAGAACATCCAGTTTCAGTCACAGTTTTGTTCCATACAGTATTAACCTTGTGAACTCTAAGCTTCCTCCTTCCTTTATGTATTCAAGATGGACAGTGATTAATAGTTATATGCAGTGATTTTTTTGTAAAAAAAAAAAAAGGTGCCGGAGCTCATACATGTCATACAACCCGCCTTGCTTTCCATTACAAAGTTCCATCAAGTTCCATCCAAAAAAGGTGCCAGAACTCCGTTCTGGGCGTTCTATGACAAAAAAAGCCCTGGTTATATGTTACTTATATGTAAGGGTGTAGATCTATACATATGTTGTATATAGTATATTTAAATGTGTGTTATGTATGTGTACACTTTGAGAGCAAGCAACTAAATTTCATTTTTAATGTGTGCTGTTGTGCCCACAGTAAAAAATGACAATAAAGGTTATCTAATATCTAATATGTCAATAGTCTGACTAGCGAACCCAACAAAAGGATTCCTCAAGGCTGTTGGGTCCCAAAAAGTAAAACTTTATTGGATGCACCATGTCAGAACTGAAGAAGCAAAACCAGCTCGGGGTTTTCCCGTATGAAAGCTTGCTTAGCTAAACAATAGATTTCCTTGCCCCCACCCAGGTTGTCCAATGGTAAGACTTCTTTTTCTTTTGGGAACAGTCCACTTCTCCATCAAGCACCTGCGGTAATGACCTTGGTGGTTTGCAGGCTCTCACGGTCCGTGAATGGCTTCTTAGCGTTCCGTTTCCTCCCTTCGCTTTGTACACCTCCCCCCTTTTCTATGGCACATTGATTAGCGATAGAAGCTAGCAAGCATCATAGTGATTCAATCTTGATATCTGAGATTCTGAAAAAAACATTTTCTTTCATGTAAGCCTCTTGGTTTTCGCTGCTGTTTGCTCCTGCGTCAGCCTATTACAAAATGCATGTTTAGTGTTTGTAATCTTAAGGGGGGAGAGGAGCCACTAAATTTGTTTATAGTTACGATGAGAGTTGGGACTTACTTCTTTATATATTTCTTTCCTTTTGCTTTATTACAGTCTCCTCTTTCTCCTTATCTTCCTTTTCCATTTTCTGCACTGTTTACTGTCTCTTCTCTTTCTAAATTCAGTTTGAATTAGCTTTTACTGTTGTAATCAGAATCCCTAATAAAATGTATATGCAAATAATCCATGTTTAATGTTTTAACTTCCTGAGGACGATGCATCAGCATTATCCACTGTGGCTGAGACTACGGTCAGCCTTCCCAACTCCAGACGGGTTGGACTTGAGCCCCATAATCCCCTAGCAAGCAAGACTGGTCCTGGCACTGTTCTGCCAGCTCTGAACCTATACTCTGAATTCCAGGGCATGGATTGGCTGACAAGGACACTGCAGTTTGAAGTTCAAGGGGACTGGAGGGGTACCATGCTGGAATGTGCCATTTTATGAAATTGGGGGGAAGAGGAATAGGTTACTTGGAGAAGAGTCTTGTGTTCCTCCCAACCATGACCTATGGAAGAGCCCAGCATCCAACGATAGCAATAGAATAGCATTTAGACTTATGTTCCGTTTTATGGTGCTTTACAGCCCTCTCTAAGCAATTTGCAGAGTCAGCGTATTGCCCGCCCAACAATCTGGGTCGTCATTTTACCGACCTCAGAAGGATGGAAGACTGAGTCAACCTCGAGCCAGTAAGAACTGAACTGCAGATTGTGGGCAGAGTTAGCCTGCAATACTACATTCTAACCACTGTGCCAACATGGCTCTACTGAGCAATTATGTTCTGGATCCAACTTCGCATAAAGCCTATGGTTTAGTGTAGATCAGGGGTGTCAAACTCAATTTCATTGAGGGCCGCATCAGCATTGTGGTTGCCCTCAGGGGGCCGGGTGGGTGTGGCCAGGGTGGGTGCAGCCTACTGGGTGGGTGTGGATGGAGTGGGTGTGGCCTACTGGGTGGGTGTTGTCAGCTCTACATCGTTCCCGTAGGGCGCCTGGGCAGGAGTGGGATCTGAGGGTCTCTGGCAGAAGGGGGTGGGACCAGGGCAAGTGCCAAGGCATGGTCCACTGGAGGAGCCTCGCTGTTTCTCTTAGGCCATGCAGGGGGGGGGGGCTTATAGAGCTAAGACTGAATGCATTTCAGCATAGATGGCGACCACAAAATTGTACATTGGCTCCCGGCTGGCCTGGGCCAGGGCCAAGGCAGAGGGGGCCGTTCCCTCACTGTTTCCAGGATGGCTTTGCGGGCCACATGAAACCACTTCGCGGGCCGCATCAGGCCCCCAGGCCTTGTGTTTGACATGTCTGGTGTAGGTGGAATAAATGAACTCTGTGCATTGTATTTAAGGACATTTTTCTTCTTTCTTCCTCCCCCCCCCCAGTTTTATAAGGCTTGATAAAAAATTTCCCCAGCAAGGTGTGTCAGTGTGGAGGTGTACACATCCCTGCTGCAGTACATGGCAGTACCAAACCAACTTTGGCTGAACTCAGAAAAAAACTTGGCTTGGGTAGTGCTTGTGTAAGAAACTGGAAGAAATCCCATGTGTGTTATCTGGCTTGGGAAATCATAAAAAAAAAACTTTATGGATTGATGTACGAAGGCAGTAGAATTTGAGACTTTTAGTATTTCCACTTGATGTAAATACACATGTGTCGATAAGTTAGTATGTTGTTGACTGATCCTTCACTCTCTCTGTTCCAGGAGCTGTACAGATATTATTTGCTGCGCTATCTTTGGGGTCTTCCTTGTTGGCTACATGATAATTGGGCTTTTGGGTGAGTAAGTTTCTTAACTTAGAGAAGAGGACTAAGGGAGCTGAATCCAAATATATTATTCCATTGCAGAGGAGGTGGTTTAGTAGACTTTATATGAGAAACAAGTGTACACACATAGTGTTAACTCCATAGATGAGTGGTGTGGTGGCCTAGTGGTGAAGATGCTCGCCTCCCACTTGGAAGGTTGACAGTTCAATCCTAGGTAGCGGCAGATGTTCCTCTCTTAGAGCACAAAGAAAAAATATCTGCTGTGAACCTCGCATGATGTTAGGAAGGGTATCCGGCCAGTAACTGCTCAGTTCCATCCAATTATCACAACTCTATCCCGAATTAAGGGATTACAAGGATGTAAAAGGGAATTAGTGTTATCTCCATTATAATTGCTGTACAATGAATAATAGCGATCATCTCTATTTATTATACTAGATAAGGAAAATCTCGTATTTATTATTCTGTAAATAATATGTGTACATGTAAATAATATATGTAATATATCCTCTGTACTCTAGAAAAGAGTACAAAGAAGAGCAACAAAGATGATTTATTCAGTGGTTCTCAACCTTTTTAATGCGGCGACCCCCAACTGATCGTAAGTCGAGGACTAAACCGGTCATAAATCGAGGACTACCCAACCGGTCGTAAGTCAAGGATTTTCCCTGCCCGGGACCACCGCGCATACGTGGTGCCGCCCCCTGCGCCGGCCGAGGCATAGCTGGCAAGCGGCAGAGACGGAGCAGGCCGACCACCGGCTGGGCCACCAGCTGGCCCAGCCCAAGGGAGATAAGGCACCCGCCGGAAAAGGGGAAAAAATGGCGGACAGCCTTGCTTGGCGACCCCCGTGAAATGGTCGATCGACCCCAAATGGGGTCGCGACCCATAGGTTGAGAACTGCTGAGGACTGGAGGCTAAAACATATAAGGAACGGTTGCTGGAATTGGGTATGTCTAGTTTAATGAAGAGAAGGACGAGGAGGGACATGATAGCCGTGTTCCAATATCTCAGAGGCTGCCACAAAGAAGAGGGAGTCAAGCTATTCTCCAAGGTGCCTGAAGGCAGGACAAGAAGCAACGGGTGGAAACTGATCAAGGAGAGAAGCAATCTAGAACTAAGGAGAAGTTTCCTGACAGAACAATTAACCGGTGGAACAACCTGCCTCCAGAAGTTGTGAATGCTCCAACACTTCTTCCTAAACTTTCTTAAAAGAAATTATTTCTTTTGTCCAGCAAATAATTTGGTTAAAAGTCCCTCTGGGCTCTTGAAGGAAAAACTCTTCTCTTGAAGGCTTTAGATAGGACAAATTTATCTCTCCCCAGACTTCCTACTCTCTATCACACCCGTAACAGCTAAAATAGTAGAACTGAACCTCTGTAATTGAGAAATAAGGAGAAAGTTGTCCCAAAGGTGCTTTTTCAAGAGGCAACTGAACTTCCTTGTTTTTCTTTGAAGATGTTTCACTTCTCATCCAAGAAGCTTCTTCAGCATTGTCCAGTTGCCTCTTGAAAAAGCATCTGTAGGACAACCATGACCTGGATGTCTGAGAATCTCCATAGAAATTAAGGAGAAAGTTGTTTGGACATTTAAAAGAAAGAGGCATCTGCAGTTACCATGTGCACATGTTTTTTTTTTTTTTTTTTTGTCTAATCTGGTGTTTCTCATAGTAGTAACTTTAAGAAATATAGACTTCAGTTCCCAGCATTCCCCAAGCAGCACAGGTTGTTGAAGTCCACACTTTTTAAAGTTCTGACTTTGTGGAGCTCCAAAGTCCTGGAGGTTTTCAGATGCCTGGGGAATATCGATGGTAAATTATGAAAAATTGATTTTTCTTTCTTCCCTTCTTTCCCACTTTCTTCTTCCTTTTTTCTTTTTTTGGTTTTGCAAGCCTGGCTGTACGGTGATCCGCGACAAGTTATTTATCCCAGAAATTCAACAGGATCCTATTGTGGAATTGGCGGCAATCGGTGCGTTTCGAATCCTGTAAAAGGATGAATTCTTCAAAATGGTGGCTTGGCTAAACAGGGAGGGACTTTAATAAGCAAAGATTTAACCAAGCTCAGACAGCAACAGTTTTCCTGGAATAAGAAACCTGTACAGGTAGTCCTCGACTTACAACAGCTGGTTTAGTGACCATTCAGTGACCGGCACTGAAAAAAGTGACTTATCATCCTCTTTCACACTTACGACCGCTGCAGCATCCCCATGGTCACGTGATCAAAATTCAGACGCTTGGCAACCAGCTCATATTTATGACGGTTGCCATGTCCCAGGGTCATGTGATCACCTTCACAAGCCAGATTCATGTAACAATCATGTCCCCAGCTTAACAACTGCAGTGATTCACTTAACAACTGTGGCAAGAAAAGTCATAAAACGGGACAAAATTCACTTAACAAACATCTCTCTTAGCAACAGAGATCTCGGGCTTAGCTGTGGTCTACCTATAATAATGCAGGTGATCCTTCCATAGCAACCACAATTGAGACAGGCAACTCAGTCGTGAAATGCCACAGTTGCCAAGTGGAAAATCATGTGATTGCAAGAGGCTTACGACCTCACTTTCCCTCTGGTTGTTAAGCGAGATATCACGTGACTGCAACCCAAGTTGCATTTCGCTTTTACATTATTATTATTATTATTATTATTATTATTATTATTATTATTATTATTATTATTATTATTAGTTTTAAAAAAATTTTACAATATATAACCCAAAACCCTCCCACCCCTCCACCCCTCCCCCACTTCCCAGAGGTTAACCAGACCTGCTTTGGGAACTGAAGCAATACAAGGGTCTTTTTTTTTTTTCATTACCAGGATTTCTTTCTTTGAATATGTTCTTCAATTCTCTTTTTCTGTTTAGTGGCAAACCTTACCTTCTCTACTTCGACCTCATGAAATGCGTCGTGGAAGCGAATCCACTGGCAATGGCAATGAAAGGCTTGCAATGCCCTACCCCACAGGTAAGGTCTATCCTGCCGTCTGTGTGTTTGTGTGTTGAACGTGGTACAGATAGTCCTCAGTCAGCGATTGCCCCTTGGTCACTAAGCAAAGCAGTCATTAAGTGAAACTGTGACCGTACTTGGGTTCTTTGTTCAGCTTTGTTTTACAGACCTGAGAAGGTCATAAATATGAGTATTGGTCATAAGATTACTTTTCCATCACCATTGTAACATGTAACATGTGAGCATGAACCAGTTGCTAAGCGTCTGTATTTGGATCACAGTATTATGGGGGAATGCTACAATGGTTGTCAGCGTGAAAAATTGTCATGTCAGTTTTTTTTCAGCGCCGCTGTAACTTTGAACAGTCACCAAATGAACTGTTGTAAGTCAGGGACTACTTGTAGCTGGTTGCAATTATTCTTTCTACACTCTTAACTATCCGTTGAAGTCCAGTTTGGTGGCTATGCTAAACCAGACCATTATAGGAGTACAAATAACAGACTCAGTAGTTCCTCTGCGAAACTGAATCAGCAGCTCCTGTGGAAAGTTTGAGGTTCCTGAGTTGACGTAGGACGCAAGAAAAAACATTGCAGATGGCTTTCAGACTGATTTCCTGCCCTCCTTCTTTTTTCAGATTTGTGTCGCCACTTGCTCCAGCAAATTCTGGACGTTGCTTCCCACTGATTTAGTGTCTCCTCATAAGAAACCTTCTGACGTGTGGAATCAGACAGTGTGCCAGCCCAGCATTGATCTCGAAACTACAAAGTTGGTAAGTTGCCTTTGGATGGCCCAATCTTAATTCCTTGCCTAATCCTGAAGGATGTTTCAAGTTTCCTTGGATATGAGTGGGGCCTTAACCTCAAAGTGCTTTTTTTCTTCAGAAGGCAGCTGGATTGTTTTTTGTTTTTTTTCCTTGAGGAGGAAGAAGAAAACGTTTTGCTTCTCATCCAAGAAGCTTCATTAATTCTGCTGGTGGGGGAATGGAAGGATAGATTCTGATAGGATGATGTGGGAAGGGGAGGAAATAGAAGGATTGTATTTCTTTGCAGTCATCTGATTGTTAGTGCTCTCTGCGAGAGCCATTGAGGCCATTTGGGGTTTATCTGTGCCCCTCAGATAATCAGGGTGCAATTGCTTGTGGGATTTTCTTAGAACTGCTGCAAGGTTACATGGTAGACTGGAGATAGGTGGTGTCTTGTCCCTCCCCCTCTGTTGAGGGAGGGGTGTTCAATTCTAACATAGATGGATTCTTTTACTTCTCTTTCCAACCATTCATCCTCTCTAGGACCATTGTCTATGTGGACAAATGTGCAAAGCCCACATTTTGGATAGAGAGGACGATTGGCTTGAAAGAGGATCCATCTATGTTAGAACTGAACACCCCTCCCTCAACACAAGGGAAGGGATAAGACATCACCCATCTCAGTGGTGAGATTCAAATACCTGAACAACCGGTTCTCTGTGTGGATGCAGGCCTGGGCCTCCGAGGCCTAGAAAGGACTTCTGGAAGTGGCATCCACGCACTTCTGGCTGGCCGTTCTTGGCCTGGGAGGCCTCCTCCAGGCCTCCAAGGCCTAGAATGGACTTCCAGAAGCAGTGTGCATTCAGCCAGTTCTCTGAACTCAACAGACTTTAGCTACTGGTTCTGCCAAACAAGAGCGAACCGGCTGAATCACTGACCTATCTCCAGTCTACAACGCAACCCTTGCCGCAGTTCCAAGAAGGCTCCAAAACCAATTGCACTCTGATTCAGGTGATCCTGAGGGGCACAGATAAATCCTCAAATGGCCTCAACAACTCTTCCATCCGCCCCGCCCCCTGCCAGCAGAACTGATGAAGCTTCTTTGATGAGAAGCAAAATGTTTTCTTCTTCTTCCTCAAAGAAAAAAAACAGTCCAGTTTTATTTTGAAGAAAACTGATCTGGATGACCGAGAATCTCCATAGACAGTGGGGCTTTGCATTTGCTGGGCACAATTGTAAAGCCATGCCTGAATTTCAAATAGTTCTCAATTTATGACCGGGTGCTTAGCGACTGTTCAAAGTTACAGCTGATGGCAAAAAAAGCTACTTACAACCCAATTTTGAAGTTACAATCCTTGACTTACAACCATTCATTTAGTGACCATTTGAAATTAACAATGACACTGAAATTAGTGGCTTATCACTATTTTTAACCCTTACAACATCTCCATGGTCATGTGATCAAAATTTGTCAGCTTTTTCCTATTTATGACAATTGTGGTGTCCTTGGGTCGTGTGATCACCTTTTGCAACCTTCCAACAAGTCAATGGGGAAGCCAAATTCACTTCATAGCCATGTTACTAACAACTGCAGTGATTCATTTAACAACTGAAAGGTCGTAAAATGGGGAAATACTTGTGCAACAATGGTCTTATTTAGCAACAGTTGTGGTCGTAAGTTGAGGACTGCCTATACAATGCCTGCACCATCTCTAGGGTCATGTGATTGGATTTTGGGTGCTTGGTTCACTTTTACAACTGTTTGCAGCATCCTGCAATCACTGGCTGTGATTTTTGCTGTTTTTAGCGTTTAGTTTGGTTTCTTGACTAAAATGCCCATTGGGCTAAAATGGGTTTGTTTAACAACTGCTGCATTCACTTAAAGACTGTTGAAAAAAATATTACAAAATCAAGTCCAATGACATGGGTCATGGGTTGTCTAGTTCTATATAATAGTGGGCCCTGTAACAGTATATCATAGTCTTGTTTCCTTCTAAGGGGATCACCTTGTTCCAGTTTTCCTGCCTCACTGTTCCTCACTCCTTCCCCTAAGCCAGGGGTAGGCAACCTTGGCTCTTTTATGACTCGTGGGCTTCAACTCCCAGAATTCCTGAGCCAGCATGGCTCAGCTTGTAAACCTCTCCCTTTTTTCTCAGCATGGCTGGCTCAGGAATTCTGGGAGTTGAAGTCCACGAGTCATAAACGAGCCAAGGTTGCCTACCCCTGCCCTAAACACTCAGTATATTGGTGCTTGTTGCTTTAATTTTTTTAATATATATTTCTGCAAATCTTGGAGTTGTCCTGAGAGTGATAAAATCTATTTTTCCCTTAATGACTCTTGTCTCATTGCAATATTCCTGGCATTTAACCCCTTGTTCTATTATCTGTTACGGATCTCTTGCTTTTTCCCCCAGACTGTGTCACAAATTCTCAACCAGCAACTTTGTCCTCGATTCACCATCCCAACCGAGCCAGGTAAGTGTAGATTCTGCAAAGAAGAAAAGGGTTCCATCCCTTGGGATGAACTGTTACGTTGCTGAAATGACAGAAAGCAAAACAGGAAATTGGAAGATGGACCACAGGAGAGTTATTGGTACCCAAAAAGGGGAAAAAAGTGAATGCATTTGCTTCAAAATGAATTTTAATAATTTGTAATTCAAAGTCTGGGACTTGGAAGAGAAGAGTAGTTTATGCCAATTGTCTTTCCAGAATGACCCCTAATTTATATCCCCCCTCTTTTATTTACAGTTATTAATCGTTGCTTACCTTTTTTTAACATCTCTGAAGTTGGAAGCTTTAATGTGGGTACAATGACAATGAATGAAACCATGAGGAACATCACAAATGGAACAGAGTAAGTCTTTTTTTATACTTTGAACTCTTCATCAAGACATCCGGGCAAATGTCTTATAGCCAGTGGTAATTTCCCTCTCTTGCCAGACCTCGTTCTCAAAACCCAACAGGACTGAGAAAACACAGAGATCCATGATCCACAATTCTAGTCCATTTTTCATCACAGAGTTATCTCCCTCAGTGAGAACTCTCCATTGGCTTGGCTGTTTGTTTCTTTCTGGGGATACGTGTGATCCAAGAAACTTGCTGGTCTTATCAGAATTGCAGATATTTCATTATTCAACTAGGTAACATCATCAGTACTAGTGAATACAGGGGTTTGCTCCCTGTTTATATACAGTAGCTTGCTTTGCCAGGGTGGTGGGGGCATGATTTCAGACAATCAGCCATTAGTACATAAAGGTACTAAATTACATTTACACACCATTCAAAAGAGGCATTAAAAAGCTAAGAGGGAAACAAAAAGACCAGGATATATCATATCCAGCACGCAACACCCAGATAAGCAGGGATTGACACCAGACAAATATCAAGTAGAAAATAATAATCAAGGAACCGCCAAGAAGAAAACCACTTCTTCACCAACACTGGAAGGGCAAGCTATTATATATAAACAGGAAACAAACCCCACATTCGCTAGCATTGATGATGTTACCTAAGGCAGTGTTTCCCAAACTTGACAATTTTAAGGCATGAGGACTTCAACTCCCAGAATTCCACAGCCAGCAACGCTGGCTGTGGAATTCTGGGAGTTGAAGTCCACATGCCTTAAAATTGTCAAGTTTGGGAAACACTGACCTAAGGTAACAAAATGCCTACAAGCAAACAATCAAGCTCAGCACCAAGGACTCTGCAAACTTTGTGTAATTTACATAAAGATGGAAGTACTGTACTGCTGGAGTTTATACTTGCAAAAATAGGGGATTGCTGCACCTTAACCTGTCCAGCAGTAAATAGACAATGCCACAACTACTGAGGCAGAGTAGAGAATGGTTATGTAGATCTAATGAATTGTGTTGGCATACTTCTGCCCTGGAATGGAGGAAAGCACATTAAACTGACTGTATGGATTTCCTTCTATAATGTCTCCAATTTTCTTTCTTGTCTTTATAGACAGCTCCTAAGTTCTCTCAATGTGAAGGACATTAGCGTGAAGATCTTTGAGGATTTTACACGGACGTGGTCTTGGATTCTCATGTGAGTACTTCTTGCAGCAGGAGGACGTTGTCCATTGGGGCTGAGGAAATCAAGAGGGCTTTGTGTCTTACATTCAAATGAATCATGATTCTTGAAGCTATGGGGGTATGACTGCAGCCAGAGCTGTGAGTCTTAGTTTCTCATTTCTTTAAGGCAGGAAGATTGGCTCTACCTTTGTTGCTCAACTGGGCATTTAATGAACATGGCCATCCCATAAGATAACTGAGAAAATCCTTCAGAGCTGTTTTGGGTTTATCCTACTGCTCAGGAAGAGGGAGAAGAGGGATTAAACCAGGGGTCTTCAAACTTGGCCCTTTTATGACTTGTGGATTTCAAGTCCCAGAATTCCTCAGCCAGCGTGCCTGCGTCCACAGAGAGATTAAGCTCTACAAGCAAAACAGGTGGAGAAGAAAGTCACTCCACCCCATCCTTTCTCTTTTATGTTATTCTCTTCCCAGAGGTCTCCTGCTTGCCATGTTCCTGAGCCTCTTGTTTCTCCTGCTGCTGAGGTACATCGCTGGCATCCTGGTATGGGTTCTCATTGTGGGAGTAGTAGCCATCATTGCATACGGTGAGTAAAATGAGAGCAAGTAGCTGAACTAGAGGTCTTAATATATTGCACCAAATTGATGAATAGGTTAAGGGTGCTACCACAGGAGTGGACAATGGTTTGGTGAACCTTTTTAAACCAGTCAGGTCCATTCGCATCAATCATTTTGCAAATGGGTAACCTTAGTAAATTTAAAATGCAAGTGGACCTCAACTCCCAGAGTTCCCCAGCCAGCATGAATTATGGCAGTTGAGGTGCACACATTTTAAAGTTCCCAAGGTTGAGAAACACTATTGTGCGCATTTATATTTAGGGTAGGAAAAACTTTCTTTCTGTCCAAACCTTGAAAAAAATGTCCATAACAAAAGGTATAATATTAGCCTAGATTGGGGTCTCCAAACTTGGCAAATTTAAACTTTAAGCATGATTGTCTGAGGAATTCTGGGAGTTGAAGTCCACAAGTCTTAAAGTTGCCAGGTTTGGAGAGCCCTGGACTAGATGGTCAGAAATCTATTTAGGCAAAGTTTGTTCAGTTCTCAAAATTACATTTTCTCCTACTGATTCTGTTCTGTTCTACTCTACTCTACTCTACTCTACTCTACTCTACTCTACTCTACTCTACTCTACTCTACTCTACTCTACTCTACTCTACTCTACTGCAGCTTGACCACTGCAGAACATTGATTTTCACACATACGTGTATCTGCCAGGTGGCATAACAATAACATAAGCCATCCAACATCTTTGAATATATGTAGTAAGTAAATGTAGGAAATAAACAGCCAAGCTTGGTATGGGTGACCTGTGACCCTCTAAGATGTAGATCAATTCAGTCCTTGCACCATCAGCCCATTTGGCTAGCAGTGAGGGATGCTGGGACTTGTAATTCAGTAGCGTCTGGAGTGTGATGATAACAGTAGCAATAGCACTTAGATTTATATACTGCCTCACTATGCTTTACCGCCCTCTCCAAGCTGTTTACAGAGTCAGCCTATTGCCCCCAACAATCTGGGTCTTCATTTTACTGATCTGGAAGGATGGAAGGATGAATCAACCTTGAGCCCCATCAGGATCAAACTCCAGGCTGTGGGCAGAGTTTGCCTGCAATACTGCACTTTAACCACTGAACCACCAGGGCTTCCATTCTGATACTTTAACAGTCACCAAGATATGGTGTCTTAGTGCCATCCTGTATGCACATCACACCGCTGGTTGGTCACTGGAGGAAAGAAGGTTGAAATGGGGAAAGGAGTCTTCTGAAACAAGATGGCAGAGGGAGGGAAATGGGATTTGAAGAATGCTCTTGTTTAGTATTTTTTTTCCATCAGTTTTTCTTTTCCCTCTCTCTCCCTTCCAGGAATCTACCACTGTTACACAGAGTATGATATCCTCAAAAATAAGGGAGCCACTATACAGACCATCGGATTTACCACCAACTTGAGCGCTTATGGAAGTGTCAAGGAGACCTGGTTGGCAGCCTGTAAGTCTTGGGTTTAGGGATGGTTAACTTGTGGGAACCTGTGTGGCTGTGCTTTTGATCTAATAGGAATTTATTTTTTTAATCATGGGTGTCTTTATAGGTTTTTGAAGGTTATCTCTGTGTTATTTTGAACTGTTTTTAATATGTGGTTAGCCAGCCGGAATCTTTAGGATGAGATGGCAGCCGCATAAATTCAGTTTAATCAAATATGAAGCTTCCCAGCTTCTTTCGAGGTGGGCACAGTCAAACCATCTCCTTTCTCCCTCCCTGCTCCAGTGATTGTCCTCTGTGTGGCAGAAGGCATCTTGCTGCTTAGTCTCCTGTTCCTCCGCAACCGGATCTTCATTGCCATCGCCCTCATCAAGGAAGCCAGCCGGTAAGTGGAGCCCCACAATGCTTTAGTGCCGTTACAGTTTCAGATTCTGGGTGGGAACCAAGGGAGAGACTGATAGTTCTCTGTTGTCTCTTTTCTCCAGAGCTATTGGATATATGATGTCCACCCTGATCTACCCACTGCTGACTTTCGTCTTAATCGTGATCTGCGTGGCCTATTGGGGCATGACGGCTCTGTATCCTTTCCGATGGTGCTGTGAATCTTTTATTTATTTATTCAATTTATATGCCACCCATCTCACTCTAAAGCGACACTGGGAGGCTTTTTCTTGCATTCCTGTGGGAGAATCAGCCAATGCCATATCTGTATACGATGATGATGTTATCCATTTGGGCGTGTCCGGTTCTTGGCGATTCTATGGGGCAGGTCTCTCCACGTCTTCCAATCTTGCACTACTTCTTTGAGTTGTTCTATGCTCTAGTTGGTGTTAGCTTTGAGGGTGTCCAGCCACCGTGTTCTTTGGCAGCCTGGTAGCCTTTGACTGCTTCTGTACACAAAGCTGTTGCAATACATCTTTCTATCCTGCCTCTCCTTGAACCTTGAGTTTGAAAATAAGAAACTTATTACAGTTGGTCTATGAACCGTGGAGGTGCAGTGGTTAAAATGCAATATTGTAGGCTAACTCTGCCCACAAACTAGAGTTCGATTCTTACTGGCTCATGGTTGACTCAGCCTGCCATCCTTCCAAGGTTGGTAAAATGAGGACCCAGATTGTTGGGAGGGCAATAGGCTGACTCTGTAAACTGCTTAGAGAGGGCTGTAAAGCACTGTGAATCAGTAACTGGCTCATGGTTGACTCAGCCTGCCATCCTTCCAAGGTTGGTAAAATGAGGACCCAGATTGTTGGGAGGGCAATAGGCTGACTCTGTAAACTGCTTAGAGAGGGCTGTAAAGCACTGTGAAGCAGTATATAAGTCTAAGTGCTATTGCTATTGCCATTTATAATACTAATAATACTAATAATAAAGTTGGAAGGGACCTTGGAGGTCATCTAGTCCTGCTCAGGCAGGAAACCCTATACCCTATACCATTTCAGACAAATGGCTGTCCAGTCTCTTCTTAAAAACTTCCAGTGTTGGAGCATTCACCGCTTCTGGAGGCAGGTTGTTCCACTGGTTAACTGTTCTAACTGTCAGGAAGTTTCTCCTTAATTCTAGTCGCTTAATGAAAACTGATGGCACTCTTCCTCCTGTTTCATTGTTGTGAGCATTTCTGTTGAGGATTGGCAGCGGGGGTGGGGTGGGGGTGTTTGGTTTTTATTCCCGTCTGCTGGGACCCTGGGACACTATGACCAACATAAATATGAATCAGTTGCCAAACATCTGAATGTAAATCACAAGACCCTGGAGATGCTCCAACATTCCAGCTGATCGGTGCTTCTTCTGGGCTCAGCAGAAGCACCAGGATCAGTGATGCTTTCTAGCTGATTAGTGCTTCTTCAGGGCTCAGCAGAAGCGCCAGGATCAGCGCCAAGCTCCAGCTGGAATCTGGTGCTGATCCTGGCACTTCTATTGAGCCCTGACAGTCCCAAAGAAACACTGATCAGCTGGAAAGCGGCACTGATCCTGGCACTTCTGCTGAGCCCTGATAGCCCTGCAGCTCCAGGCATCTCTCGCTCAGGCTTGTGCGGTGCTGCCACCGGTTCAGCTCATTCCACTCCCCCGCTATCACTTTTCTAGGATGGTCGCGTACCACCGGCCAGGTGCCAATGTACCACAGGTGGTACCTGTACCACTGGTTGAAAAGCCCTGCTCTAAAGGAATGCAAATGACCAGCTGTCTGCAAGGAGTATAAATCCTTCCATTCCCCACCATCCAGTCAGAGCTGAAGAAGCTTCTGGATGAGAAGCAAAATGTTTTCAAAGAAAACGGGTTTGTCAAAAACAGAGCATGCCAAACCAATCTTATTTCATTCTTTGATAAAGTGACTAAACTACTTAGACTTCAGTAAGGCATTTGACAAAGTAGACCACAACCTACTGCTTAATTAGCTAGAAAAAGATGGGATAGACAACACCACCATCAGATGGATCTGTAGCTGGCTGACAAACTGTACTCAGCGAGTAGTCCTCAATGGTACTATATCCACATGGAGAGAAGTAAGCAGTGGGGTACTATAAGGCTCCATCTTAGGCCCAGTGTGCTTCAATGTCTTCATTAATGACGGGGGAACTCATCAAAGGGGAACTCATCAAATTTGCACTAAACTGGCAGGAACAGCCAACACCCCAGAAGACAAGCTCAGGATCCAAAAAGATCTTGACAAACTTGAACAATGGGCCCTATCCAACAAAATGAGTTTTAATGTGGGAAAAAAGCAAAGTTTTACATTTAGGCAGGAAAAACCAAAGGTTTAAGTACAGATTAGGCAAGACCTGGCTCAAAAACAGCAACTGTGAGAGGGACCTTGGAGTCCTAGTGGATCACTTGGCTATGAGCCAGCAATGTGCAGCAGCAGCCAAAAAAGCTAATACAATCCTGGCTTGTATAAACAGAGGCATAGAATCAAGGTCACGTGAAGTATTTGTACTGCGTTATAAAACCCTAGTAAGACCACACCTGGAATACTGCAACCAATTTTGGTCACCATACTACAAAAAAGATGTTGAAACCTTGGAAAAAGTTCAGAGAAGAGCAACTAAAATGATCAAGGGCCTGGAGACTAAAACATATGAAGAATGGCTGCAGGACTTGGGTTTGGCTAGTCTAAAGAAAAGAAGAAACGGGTGACATGATAGCAGTATTCTAGTGTTTGAGGGGCTGCCACAAAGAAGAGGGTGTCAAATTATTTTCCAAACCACCAGAGGGCAAGACAAGAACAATGGTTGGAAAGTGACCCAAGAGAAAAGCAACCTGGAATTAAGGAGAAGCTTCCTAATAGTGAGGATAATTAACCAGTGGAACAGCTTGCTACCAGAAATCGTGGGCGCTCCATCACTGGAGATTTTAAAGAAGAGACTAGACAGTCACTTGTCTGAAATGGTATAGGTTTTCCTGCTTGAGCAAGGGGGCTGGACGAGAAGACCTCCAAGGTCTATTCTATTCTGTTCTGTTCCGTTCCGTTCCATTCCAGCTCTATTCCAGCTTTTTTTCTATTCTAAAACCCAGAAAGTCCAGTTGCCTCATGAAAAAGCATGTTCCTTGATTAAGGTACTAGTTTCTGTTTTCTGCTTCTGTTTCCCGTTTCAAACAATACCTTAATTATGAAACCACCAAGGAGAAAACCATACCCCTGCCAAAACTGGCTGGGTAAGAGGCTATATATAAACAAGGAACAAACCTGTCTGAAATGGTGTAGGGTTTCCTGTCTGAGGAAGGGGTTGGAGTCGATGACCTCCAAGGTCCCTTCCAACTTTATTATTATTATTATTATTATTATTATTATTATTATTATTGATCATCGCACAGTCAGCCATATGTTCAGCCTTTTGCAATTGACTAATAGCGAATTTGTCAATGCCAATGGTGTTCAAGTGGTGCTCCAGTTGTTTTGGGATTGCACCCAAGGCGCCTATTACTATTGGTACTACTCTTGCTTGCTTTTGCCACAATTTTTCTATTTCTATTTGTAGGTCTTTGTATTTTGTTATCTTTTCCAGTTCTTTCTCGTCTATTCTGCTGTCTCCAGGCACTGCCACGTCCACTATCCAGACTTTTTTTGTCTTTCTTATCGACAATTGTTAAGTTATTACGGATCATCGCACAGTCAGCCAGATGTTCAGACTGGATGGCATTTTGTCTACCTATCGAGTCCTTACCCAGGACCTGGGATAGGCAGATGTGGATGTTTGATGGTATTACAGATATCGTCGCAGGATGGAAGCAGTTCCTAGTAAGGCCGCCTTTTGCAATTGACTAATGGAAAATTTGTCAATGCCAATGGTGTTTTGGAATTGCACCCAAGGCGCCTATGACTATTGGTACTACTGGTCATAGGCACCTTGGGTGCAATCCCAAAACAACTGGAGCACCACTATTATTATTATTATTATTATTATTATTATTATTATTATTATTATTATTATTATTATTACTTGTCCTAATCCAGTAAGAGTAGATCCTGAAATCAAGTGGTTTTCCTGATTTTACCAGTCAGGTAATGAAACGTCAGCAAACAAGCAAGCTCAGAAAACACCAAGGATACTATAAATTACATCTGCGTTTTATATTCAGTGCCAGGATTAAAGTAATCTTTCAATATTTAAACATTTGGGGACCATTTACTTAGGGTTTTTTTTAAAATATCTGCATGTATTATTCAGTTATAACCTGATGTTTTTTGTTGATGCTACACATGTGCCCTTGATGGGAGAAAGTTAGTCTAGAACAGGTAGGCAACCTTGGCTCTTTTATGACTCGTGGACTTCAACTCCCAGAATTCCTGAGCCAGCTATACTGAGGGGAAAGGGAGAGGTTTCCAAGCTGAGCCATGCTGGCTCAGGAATTCTGGGAGTTGAAGTCCATGAGTCATAAAAGAGCCAAGGTTGCCTACCCCTGATAGAAACAGATGCAATGTATACATGAGATGAATTAAAGATTTGACTGTATTCATTGTTTGACAGCTGGCATTTAGGCTTCTCACTTCCTTGCCACTGTGTAAGAACAAAGTCAAATAATGTCCTCAGTTAAAGCATTCAGAATACAGGTGGTCCTTTGGGGACCGTTCAATTCCTTTAGGGACCGTTCAAAGTTACAATGGCACTGAAAAAAAATGATTTATGACCGTTTTTCCCACTTATGACCTTTGCAGCATCCCCATGGTCACGTAATCAAAATGCAGATGCTTGGCAACTGGTTCATATTTATGACCGCTGCTGTTTCCTAAGGTCACACAATCACCTTTTGGCAAGCAAAGTTGATGGGGGAAGCCAGATTCACTTAACAACCGTGTTATCAACTTATCAGCTGCAGTGATTCACTTAACTATGGCAGGAAAGGTGGTAAGATGGGGCAAAATTCACTTAACAAAGGTCTCCCTTAACAACAGAAATGTTGGGCTCACTTGTCATAAGTCGAGGACTACCTATATTGAGGTATCAAATGTCAACTTCACATTCTGAATTATGGTTTCAGAGAATCTGCATTCAAAGTTGGAGTGGCAAAACTGGACATTTGTACAGTTTCCGTTCAATCCCTCTTTGCAACATTTTCCACTGGCAATAGATTTGTGTTCCCAACTGGAGGAGGCCAGGGTTGTGTGTCCCATCCCATAATACCCTCTCTGGAGGGCCGATGCTACAGAGCATTGCATGCCAAAACAACTAGACACCAAGACAGGTTTTTTTCCTCATGCCATCACTTGTCTGAACACCTAATTCACCCAGTACTGCCTTATGTCTAAGGATATTTTCCCATGTTGTACGGCTGTGTTACTTTCATCCTTCTCAACTGTTCCATAGCCTTCCCTTATTGGTATCATGATTATTATTATTATTTTTATATTATGATTATCCTTATCATTTTTATCATCATTATTGTTACATTATAGTTTTGCATGTACACTGAGAACTTATAAGAGCCCTGGTGGCACGGTGGTTAGAATGTAGTATTGCAGTCTAATTCTGCCGAATGCCAGCAGTTTAATTCTTACCAGCTCAAAGTTGATTTGGCCTTCCATCTTTCCGAGGTTGGTAAAATAAAGACGCAGATTGTTGGAGGCAATATGTTGATTCTGTAAACCACTCAAAGAGGGCTGTAAAGCACTGTGAAGCGGTATGTAAGTCTAAGTGCTATTACTATTGCTATTACACATTCCTTGTGTGTCTAATCACATTTGGCCAATGTTCTATTCTAGTCAACATTGTGAAAGATAAAAGGAGATATTTTGTTCGAAAACTTCCTTGACTATTTCTTATTTTTAAAGATATCTTTCTACTTCTGGAGAGCCCCTTTTTCGTATCACCCCAACAAATGATACTGCCCCGGGCTGTGAAAAATTCCGTGGTAATGAAAGTTGCAAGCCGCTGGTAAGTGGTCAGAGGCAGAACCGAAGTATCTTTGATCCTCAGAGCCATTTTGGCTATTAAGTCCTTTAGCCATTGGGGCATGATGAAAAATACAATCGTACTTTGGGAACCTCTCAGTTTTTCTTATGATGAAGCTTTGGCATTAAGTGGGACAGAAGCACGTTAAATAATCTCATGAATGAATTGGTTACCTTTTGGCCACCACCACCACTTTTTCAAACTTTAGAATGATTGGGAGAAAATGGATCCTGTTCTTCCAGGAGAGACTTTCCAGGAGCTGCCTAAAATCAATTCAGTTCTGTATAAGTTAGCCCAGGGGTAGGCAATCTTGGCTCTTTTTTATGACTTGTGGACTTCAACTCCCAGAATTCCTGAGCCAGCATAGCTGGCTCAGGAATTCTGGGAGTTGAAGTCCACAAGTCATAAAAAAGAGCCAAGATTGCCTACCCCTGAGTTAGCCTCATGTCGCCTCTATCAGAAATGGGTAATCCAACGCTTCTCCCCTGGTTCTGCCTGCTCTCCTTTGCCCCTAAAATCAGGCTTATAGCAAATCAGCCAGAGTGGAAGCTGAATGCCAGGCAAGATGGACATTATTCGTTGATTTATTTATTTTAGAAGCCACCCATCTCATTGTTGCGGCAACTCTGGGAAGCTTACACATTGATTAAAAGGTAAAAAAAAAGATAATACAAAACAATGAAAAGGGTTAAATTAGAAACTAGAAATCTGTAGGAGAAGAGTAGGCGGCGCTGGAAGGTGGAGTTAAAAGCATCATCAGCTTAGAGTCAGTGTGTTCCCACAAACGGTCCCATTTTAACCACTCTGGAATTCCATTGGCCCTTATCCGGTACCAATTTAGTACTGAACTTTAGTTGACTATAGATTTTTATGTATAAGCTTCAACAATAAATCTTTTGAACAGCAACACCATACGGTCACGATGCTATGTGCCTGACAAAACCAAGGAAACGGGCGACATGGAGGTGGGGATCTTCTCTCTCTACCCCATCAGCCACCCCAACACAAAACGCTTCTATCAAGGCCCAGACCAAACAACAGAGGCAGGTTTTAAGGCTCTTCTGGAAGACCAGAAGTGTGGGGACTGACCTCACCTCCAGGGAGAGAATATTCCAGAAGGTTGGGGCCACAGCAGAAAAGACTCTTCTCCTGGACTCCACCAGCTGAAATTCTTTGAAATATGGGGTCCAAAGTAGACCTCTTCTGCTGGAGTGAGTTGACGGGCCATACTATTGGGTGAGACAGCCCCTCAGATGTATGGACCCATGCCATAAAGAGCTTTAATAGTTGGACCCTATAAGCTAAAGTGACCAACCATTCTCCTTTAGGGAGGACAGTCCTCCTTTTGTAAGTTCTGTCCTCCCTCAAAAAGTGTCCTCCTTCATGTCCTCCTTTTCGATATTTGAAGACTAATTTGCAGGGCTTTTTTTTCCCCCTCATAGAACGCTCAGAACAGCGTTCCGGCATCTTTTTTTGATGGTTTTTTTTCTTCAACTTTTGCATGAGCTGTGCTACTCCCCCTATTGGCTTTCGAAAGCCAATAGGAATTGCTGCTGAGCGCGCCAAAACATCCGGCTGGCAAACTTTGCACATGCAAGTTGTCTGTATTATTGTTGCAATGAATAAAATGTTTCTTTTATTTACGATATTTTTTTCTTCAATTTATTTGTGTCCTCTTTTTCATTGTAAAAAAGTTGGTCACCTTAGTATAAGTTTCTTAATCCAATTTGTACACAATCCAGCTCTTATCCAGTTTGCACTCTTCTTATCTAGCTTCTGTGTTAACAACGCTCTTATTCAGAAATCTTATCTAGTTCCTATGCTAAATTTCAGCCCTTTGGAAGTGGTGGCCAATTGAGACAACTGAACCCAGACTCCAGGATTTAAGATCCGGCCTTTGATCAAGCTAGTTCCTCAGATCTTATTGTTTTTTCCTGCATTTTATGAGGTTTCTTTCTTCAGTTGTGTACGTAATGGCATGGTGTGGTGCATTTTGTTCTATTGTCTTGCATTTCACCCTTCCAACAATTCAGTGAGATAAGCTAGGTTGTGCTTCAGTGAAAGAACTAGATACCGGCTGAACAAAAAAAAAAAAAAAAAAAATGAGAATGAAAGTCAAAGTCAAAGTCACTTTTACCAACTGGGTCTGCCAGAATTTAAAATGAAGTCTGCAACTCTGTGGAATAGCTTGTTCAAATGCCTATCTTGTTTTGCAGCCTCTCACCAGTATAAAATGTCGACTTACAACAGTTCAATTTGTCTGAACTGGTATATTTGTCTGAACTGGTATATTTGTCTGAAATGGTATAGAGTTTCCTGCCTAAGCAGGGGGTTGGACTAGAAGACCTCCAAGGTCCCTTCCAACTCTATTATTATTATTATGGATCATCGCACAGTCAGCCAGGTGTTCAGACTGGATTTGGCATTTTGTCTACCTATCGAGTCCTTACCCAGGACCTGGGATAGGCAGATGTGGATGTTTGATGGTATTACAAATATCGTCGCAGGATGGAAGCAGTTCCTAATAAGGCCGCCTTTTGCAATTGACTAATAGCGAATTTGTCAATGCCAATTCTGTTCAAGTGGTGCTCCAGTTGTTTTGGGATTGCACCCAAGGAGCCTATGACTATTGGTACTACCCTTGTTTGCTTTTGCCACAGTCTTTCTATTTCTATTTGTAGGTCTTTGTATTTTGTTATCTTCTCCAGTTCTTTCTCGTCTATTCTGCTGTCTCCAGGCACTGCCACATCCACTATCCAGACTTTTTGTCTTTCTTATCGACAATTGTTAAGTCTGGGGTGTTATGTTGCAGGTGCTTGTCTGTTTGAATTATGAAGTCCCAGAGCAGTTTAATTTTATCATTTTCTATGACTTTCTCTATTTTATGATCCCACCAGTTTTTGCTTACAGGCAAATGATATTTTTTGCATATCTTCCAATGCACCATTGTTGCTACTTTGTCATGCCTCTGCTTGTAGTCAGTCTGTGCAATCTTCTTGCAACAGCTTACCAGGTGGTCCACTATTTCTTCAGCTTCTTTGCATAGGCGGCACTTACTGTCTGTTGCTGTCTTCTCAATTTTGACTTTATATGCGTTTGTCCTTAAGGCTTGGTCTTGTGCAGCCAGAATTACTCCCTCGGTCTCTTTCTTCAATTTTCTTGCTCTTAGCCATTGCCAGATTATTATTATTATTATTATTATTATTATTATTATTATTATTATTATTATTATTATTATGGATCATTGCACAGTCAGCCAGATGTTCAGACTGGATTTGGCATTTTGTCTACCTATCGAGTCCTTACCAAGGACTTGGGATAGGCAGATGTGTATGTTTGATGGTATTACAAATATCATTGCAGGATGGAAGCAGTTCCTAGTAAGGCCGCCTTTTGCAATTGACTAATGGCGAATTTGTCAATGCCAATGGTGTTCAGGTGGTGCTCTAGTTGTTTTGGGATTGCACCCAAGGCACCTATTACTATTGGTACTACCCTTGCTTGCCTTTGCCACAGTCTTTCTATTTCTATTTGTAGGTCTTTGTATTTATTATTATTATTATTGTAGTTGTTATTGTTATTATTATTATTATGTGACCATTCAAAATTATAACAGCACTGAAAAAATTAACTTATGACTCTTAGCAGCTGACTCATATTTATGACAATTGCAGTGTCATGTGATCCCCTTTTGTGACCTTCTGACAAACAAAGTCAATGGGGAAGCCAATTTCACTTAACAACCATGTTATTAACTAAGCAACTGCAGTAATTCAATCAGAATAGAGCTGGAAGCGACCTTGGAGGGCTTCTAGTCCAGTGTTTCCCAAACTTGACAATTTTAAGGCATGTGGACTTCAACTCCCAGAATTCCACAGCCAGTGTTGCTGGCAGTGGAATTCTGGGAGTTGAAGTCCTTATGCCTTAAAATTGTCAAGTTTGGGAAACACTGTTCTAGTCCAACCCCGTGCTCAAGCAGACAAGTGGCTATCCAGTCTCTTCATAAAAACTTCTAGTGATGAAGCACCCACAACTTCTGAAGTGAAGCTGTTCCATTGGTTAATTGTTGTCACTGTTAGGAAGTTTCTCGTTAATTCCAGATTTCTTCTCTCCTTGATTAGTTTCCATCTATTGTTTCTTGTCCTGCCCTCTGGTGCTTTGGAGAATAGGTTGACCCCCCCTCTTCTTTGTGGAAGCCCCTCTTCTACTGGAACACTGCTATCATGTCACCCCCAAGTCTTTCTTTTCTCTAGACTGGTCGTACCCAAATCCTACAACCATTCCTCATATGTTTTAGTCTGCAGGCCTTTAATCGTCTTAATTGCTCTTCTCTGCACTTTTTCCAAAGTCTCAATATCTTTTTTGTAATGGGGTGACCAAAACTGGATGCAGTATTCCAAGTGTGGCCTTACGAGGGTTTTATAAAGCAGTACTAATACTTTGTGTGATTTTATAATAATAATAATAATAGTAGTAAAGTTGGAAGGGACCTTGGAGGTCATCTAGTCCAACCCCCTGCTCGGGCAGGAAACCCTACACCATTTCGGACAAGTGGCTGTCCAGTCTCTTCTTAAAAACTTCCAGTGTTGGAGCATTTACTGCTTCTGGAGGCAGGCTGTTCCACTGATTAATTGTTCTCACTGTCAGGAAGTTTCTCCTTAGTTCTAGTTGCTTCTCTCCTTGATTAGTTTCCACCCGTTGCTTCTTGTCCTGCCTTCAGGTGCTTTGGAAAATAGCTTAATTCCCTCTTCTTTATGGCAGCCCCTGAGATATTGGAATACTGCTATCATGTCCCCCCTTGTCCTTCTCTTCGTTAAACTAGACAGACCCAATTCTAGCAACCGTTCCTTATATGTTTTAGCCTCCAGTCCCCTAATCATCTTTGTTGCTCTTCTCTGTACTCTTTCTAGAGTCTCAACATTTTTTTTACATCGTGGTGACCAAAACTGGATGCAGTATTCCAAGTGTGGCCTTACCAAGGCATTGAAGAGTGGTATTAATACTTCATGTGATTTTGATTCTATCCCTCTGTTGATGCAGCCTAGCACTGTGTTGGCCTTTTGGGCAGCTGCAGCACACGGCTGGCTCATATTTAGGTGACTGTCTACTAGGACTCCGAGATCCCTCTCACAGTTACTATTATTGAGCATGGTGCCCCCTATGCTGTACTTGTGCATTTGGTTTTTCTTGCCTAAATGTAGAACCTTGCTTTTTTCACCATTGAATTTCATTTGGTAGTTAGTGCCCAGTGTTCAAGTCTGTCCAGATCCTTCTGCATCTTAAGCCTGTCTTCTGGAGTGTTGGCTATTCCTGCCAGCTTGGTGTCGTCTGCAAATTTGATGAGTTCCCCATCTATCCCTTCATCCAAATCGTTGATGAAGATGTTGAAGAGTACTGGGCCCAAAATAGAGCCCTGGGGCATTTTGATTCTATGTGTCTGTTTATACAACCAAGGATTGTATTAGATTGTATTCACTTAACAACTGTGGCAAGAAAGGTCATAAAATGAGGCAAAACTCAATAAATATCTCACTTAACAACAAAAACCTGGGGTTCCGTTGTGGTCGTAAGTCACAGACTACCTATATATTGTACGTGTTTTGTTCTTTCTTTTCTCAGGATTTCAATGCCTCCGCCAATCTCCCTTGCATAACCGAATGCATCTTCTACAGATACAATGATGAAGGGCTTTACCAGCGCAACCTCTTCAATCTTCAGATCTACAATGTTGTGGGCTTCCTTTGGTGTATCAACTTCGTCATTGCTTTGGGACAGTGTGTGCTTGCGGGAGCCTTTGCTTCCTATTACTGGGCCTTCAAGAAGCCTCAAGATATCCCAGCCTGTGCCTTGCCTAGTGCCTTCCTCCGGACATTAAGGTGCGTAGCTTGGGAAGAAATGTCTGTGGAGACTTCTCAGTCATCCAGGTCATCGTTGTCTCAAAAGGGCTTTTTCAAAGGGCAGCTGGACTGGTTTTTTCCTTGAGGAAGCAGAACAAAATGTTTTGTTTCTCACCCAAGAAATTTCATCAGTGGTGATGGTGGTGGGGGAGCGATGGAAGGATTGTATTTCTTTGCAGTCATCTGGTCCATTAGTACTCTCTGTGAGAGCTCTTGGGGAAATTCCCACACATTTTTCTGAAAGACAGTTCCAATGTCCATGGGAGTTTGGCAGTGGTGATGAGAGACCACACAAGGAAGCCAAAGTTATGATTGCTAGTACTACTTTTATTCTAAAGCAACCCTAACAGAATCTCACCAGTCTGAAGTTGCTTCCCCCCTGTTTCCCTATATCTTCATGAGAACTAGGGAGGAATTTTTCTGAGATGCCTTCACATATTACAATTCTGATCCTGGCTCAGATTTCTCTTATCTGTTGTCCTGGTTGCAGCTCTTCTTCCTGTTCCTCAAGGCTATTCCTTCTTCCCTTTACAACTATCAAGCACAAGTATTGGCCTGCCTCCAATCAGTGGGAAAATAAACTGAGCTATTACCAATTTCTCGTCTATCTTTTTTTCTAAATTGGAAGATACCAACCCAGGCACCACTGATCCTATATCATCCCCCTCATAAATCTTTCAACAAGATTTTAAAAATTACCTATACTTGGTGCCATAAGCCTAAGGTCATATTCAAAAGGGGTGAAATATTGTTTTATCCTATGCAAGAATGCCAATATTTCATTAAAGATTAGGTATTGTTTTATTTTAATTTGGGCATAGTACAGATTTATAGAAAAATAGGATAGGGTAGGGTAGGGCAGGGCAGGGCAGAACAGAGCAGAGCAGAGCAGAACAGAACAGAACAGAATAGAATATTCTTTATTGGCCAGGTGTGATTGGACACACAAGGAATTTGTCTCTGGTTCATAAGCTCTCAGTGTACATACAAGCAATAAGTGATAAATCATGATCATAATCATAAAATACAATCATCATAAATCATAAGATACAACAGTCAGTGATAGCCATAGGAGACTAAATGAGCAATCAACATAAATCATAATAGGATACTTAAAAAAAAGGAATCAACATAAATCATAAGATACAAACAACAAAGTCATAGTCATAAGCTAAAGAAATAGTTAATAGGAAAGATGAGAAGGATAATAGTAATACGTCCCTACAAAGTGGTTTGACATCCCAGGGACATAAGACAGCGCTGGGGGTATTAGGTGTTTAGCAGAGTGATGGCATGAGGGAAAAAACTGTCTGTCAACGCTGCAAATATTGTATATTCTTGCTTTTGATAATATGCAGAATTGTCTGGTAATTAAGGGGTTAATGCAGAGCAGAAGGGTTGGGGGTAAAGCCCAGGAAAGAAAGAGGAAGAAAACCTATGACCTTCACACTAATTGGATAATGTGAGATATGAGGCTAATTTAGGGAGGGAACATGCTGATAATTTAACTCCTCAGAGGAAGAGAACTTAGATCCTAGCATCCCTCCGTTGTGACTGTGCCGACATTTTGTAACAATAAAAGACTTTTAGGAAAATAAATGCCTGGAAGTTCTTTGAAATGTTTCATTAGCTGGAACCATAGCACTGTCCTTGTGTCTAGTTGTTTTGGTGTGCAATGCCCTATCAGGGATATAAAAATAACCTTGTTTGACCAGAAAGTTTAGAATTAATTTTCAACTCTAGTGATTAGCACTAATAGGAACTGGAATCCAGTACTATCTGGAGGATTCTGAGTTCACACCATAAGGATATACAGTATATAGCCTTGTGCATGAAGACGTATACAGATAGTCTTTGACTTATAAACACAATTGGGACCAGAATTTCCATTTCTAAGCCAGGCGGTTGTTAAAGTGAGTCGGCCCTGATTCTGTGACCTTTTTGGCCATAGTTATTAAGTGAATCCCTACAATTGTTAAGTAAATTGTGCAAATCCAGCTTTCCCCATTGACGCTGCTTGTAGAAAGCCAGCGGGGGGGGGAGAGCTTGCTAATGGTGACCACATGACCCCGGGATGCTGAAACCATGGTAAACACTTGCCTGTTGCCAAGTGCCTAAATTTTGGTCAGATGACCTGGGAATACTATGACTGTCGTAAGTGCAAGCACTGGTTATAAGTCAATAAATCTGGTTGAAAGTCAAGAACCACCTGTACGTGAATACTTCTGTCTCTGTTTTTGTTTTCTCAAATGCGTCCTCATTTTCTGCCTTTTTATGGAACGTTTAAATGCAGTCCCCTCTGATTTGAAGCTCGTTTGGTCTAGCGGTTAAGGCACCAAGCTAGAAAGCAGGAGACTCTGAGTTCAAGTCCCACCTTAGCTGTCAAAACCAACTGGGTAACCTTGAGTCTTTCAGCCCAACCCACCTCACAGGGTGGTTGTCGTTGTGGGGGAAAACAGGAGGAAGAAGGAGCATTAGATGTGTTTGCCACATACTAAAGGAGGGATATAAATCAAATAAATTACAATAAATAATTTATCCACAGATACCACATGGGTTCGTTAGCTTTTGGCTCTCTTATCCTCACCATCGTTCAACTGATACGCATGATACTAGAATATCTGGACCACAAGCTGAAAGGCAAGTGATAAACTGGCTTGATTTGAGGACAAATTAGCCATTATGGGCAAATAATCAGTTGGGTCTAAGACTGCTGGATATGACTAGTATGAACCATCTTTCAAAGTCGGGAAGGGTTTGGGACATGGAATTCAACTGCTGGTGACAGAAATTTGTTCTCCAGTTTCATGCAGGCAAAACAGTGCAGAATTACTTGCATGCAGCATGAGCACCTATATATCTGCACCTTGTCTGGCATGTAGACATATTGTCACTTACTAGGCTCCTTTAAGCCCAGATCTGCACCAACCCTGCAGATTTTCAAGTGATTTACTTCCTACTAAACACTTCGGAACATAAGCCTCAACAAAAGAGCAGCAATAGTGCTTAGCAATTGCCCTTAAACTTATATATTGTCCCATAGTGCTTTATAGCACTTTCTAAGCGGTTTACAATGTCAGCATATTGCCCCCCCCCCAATCTGGGCTCTCATTTTACCGACCTCGGAAGGATGGAAGGCTGAGTCAACCTTGAGCCCCCCCAAGATCAAACTCCAGACTGTGGGCAGAATTAGCCTGCAATACTGCACTTTAACCACTGTGCCACCAGGGCGCCTCTCAGAACAGTTCAGTCCACATTCTGACAGTTGAACAGGGATACTAACCATAGCTACGTCAGCCTTACTTCTAACTCTGCTTTGACATTTGCAGAGGCCGAAAATCCAGTTGCCAACTTTTTAATGTGCTGTCTGAAATGTTGCTTCTGGTGTTTGGAGAAGTTCATCAAGTTCCTCAACCGAAATGCTTATATTATGGTGAGCCATGATTGCTACTATTAAACTCCACTGGGTCTGTCAATCATTCTGCATCCACCAGTGGTATTTTAAAAAAAATAAATATGTTATTTTTGGTGGCTGTGGACCGCAGGATTGAACAATGATATAATCATCATGCAAGTGTAGGGATTGGAGGAAATGAAACCTCCCTGAAGTTCTAGTACACTTGCTTTATTCGTTTCCCACTTAAATTTGGGGGAAATTCAAAATTTGGTAACCAAATTTGCAATTTTGTAGGTACTGTGTGTCAAAAGGGGGTTGGCAATGGCATATGTCATGGATAAAACAATTCAGGTTTCTTTAAAATATGGTATGCACCACCAAATCCTGCATTCTACAGCCCCATTGTCAGTCATTGTCAGCCAGGCGAGAAAAGAGAGAAACAGATAAATTTGAGGTTTCAGATTATATGGAGAGGAGCTATAGGACCCTCTCAACCTGTATCAAAAACAGGGGAGAAATCTGGTGCTTTCAGAAGGCAAAGAGAGAAATCTTATAGCTCCCTCAAAAATGTAACGTATCCTTTGTCTTTGGAAATCCTCACAAAAAAACGGAAGGACACTTTGATTCCCACAATGGATAATTTAAAGAAAAAAACACAATTAGTTTTGTTTCTACTTGGAAACCGCTTCTGGACTTTGTGCTTGAGGTGGGAAAAAAACAAAACCTTGATTTGGGGTTTTACTGATTGGATAGGTTTGCTGTTACAGAAATGATTAGTTTATATGACTATATAAAAGTAAAAAGCTGAGGCTTGATGCTATTATCTTATTGTACTGCACCAAAGGGAGTCGGAAGATAACACCTTTTCTTTCTTTTTTTCATTTTGCCCTACCCTTTCCCTTCTCCCTCCCTTACTTTCCCGCCATTTTCTTTTGTGTTTTATATTATGAACTAATTTTTTTAAAAAGGAAATCCTCCTTCATTTCAGATTGCCATTTATGGAAAGAACTTTTGTGTGTCGGCCAAAAATGCTTTCAATCTCCTGATGCGGAATGTTGTCAGGTAACCATGGTGGGGAACGGCAGAGGCCCTCAGGCAACCAGGCCAAGGAAGGAGAGAAATTTTCTCTCCATTTCATCTTTTCTCTTCTTCTCAATGCAGAGTCGTAGTCCTGGATAAAGTCACAGATCTGCTGCTGTTCTTTGGGAAGCTCTTGGTGGTGGGAGGAATCGGCGTCCTGTCCTTTTTCTTCTTCACGGGACGAATCCCCACGGAGGACACCCGGTTCAAATCCCCAGTCCTCAACTACTACTGGCTGCCCATACTGGTATGTCATGGTGGCTGTTGGGTGGCCACTTACATGGCTTGTTTCTACCTCCCTGAAACTTTCTTAAAACAATTTAATAACAACAACAACAACAATAAATAATAATAATAATAATAATAAATGATAGGAATATTGTAAAGGGAATAACATACTAGTGTTCTAAAACTGAAATCTCACCATCTTCCAGCCCTTTCTCATTTTTTCCCCCTCTCTTTGTTTTGTTTCAGACTGTGGTTGTAGGTTCCTACCTCATCGCCCAGGGATTCTTCAGCGTCTACAATATGTGTGTTGACACGTTGTTCCTCTGTTTCTGTGAGTATTCCCTTTCACATCTCATTTCCTAGCCTGGAGCAGTGTTTCTTAAACTCTGGTCCAAGGAAACTTGGGGGTCCGTAAGACTTTCTCTGGGGTCTATGAGGTCAAAATTATTTGCCAGCCTTAATACAATATTAAAATCCCATCAAACAATTGTGAGAAGTGGTAGGGGTAGCAAATGCATTCATTTTAATTTTTAATACAGTAAATATCAATACATATAACCCATATAAGGAGGGGTTGGCAGCTCAGTGGCTTAAAAGACACTGGAGAAGAGCTATACTCTGGCGCTTCAAGTCCTACCATTGCCTGACGGAGTGAGTTCCCGTTATTTGCCTCAACTCCTGCTAACGAGCAGTTGGAAAGCATGTACAGTAAATGCAAGAAGATAAATAGGTACCATTTCACTAGGAAGCTAACAGCTTTCCGTGTTATGCTTTGCACTGTTGCGTGATGTCATGCTGGCCACATGACTGTGGAAACATCTTCGGACAGTGCTGGATCAAGGGCTTAAAGAAATAGAGACGAGCATCGCCTCCTAAATTCAGCTACAACCAGCAGTGTTCAAACCCACAGGGATTCCTTTACCTTTTTATAACCCATACAAACAAAAGCTCTTTGGGGAGTCATCCATAATTTTGAAAAGTGGGAAGTTCTGAGAGAAAAAAAGTTTAAGAAACGCTGCCCTAGAGAGTGTACCAGCTTTCCCCAGTCTGGGGAAACCCCTCCAGATAGGGGTTGCGGCTGCTTCAGTTTGGGGTTTAGTCCAAATATATCTGGTGCTGTGGTTAAAAGTAGTATATTTGGAGGAGGGAGTCTTGAGTTCTAATCCTACGTTGGGTACCAAACCCAGTTATATGTCGTTGAGTTAAGTCACAGTCCCTAGGACAGTGGTTCTCAACCTTTTTAATGCCGCGACCTCCAACCGGTCGTAAGTCGAGGACTACTCAACCGGTCGTAAGTCAAGGACTACTCAACTGGTGCAGCACTGTTTGCAGAATGGGACTTTTGGCAGGGCAGAGACAGCCTGGACAATTCCTATTGGCTTTTGAAAGCCAATAGAATTAGACTCTATTCAAGAATAGAATAAAAGGGAGTAGCACAGCTAAGGAAGGGAAGTGTGTAGTGGGGTGCCCCAGGGCTCTGTTCTGGGTCCAGTACTCTTCAACATCTTCATCAACGATTTGGATGAAGGGATAGATGGGGAACTCATCAAATTTGCAGACGACACCAAGCTGGCAGGAATAGCCAACACTCCAGAAGACAGGCTTCAGATAAGAGGATCTGGACAGACTTGAACACTGGGCACTAACTAACAAAATGAAATTCAATGGTGAAAAAAGCAAGGTTCTACATTTAGGCAAGAAAAACCAAAATGCACAAGTACAGCATAGGTGGCACCATGCTCAATAGTAGTAACTGTGAGAGGGACCTCAGAGTCCTAGTAGACAATCACTTAAATATGAGCCAGCAGTGTGCTGCAGCTGACAAAAAAGCTAACACAGTGCTAGGCTGCATTAACAGAGGGATAGAATCAAGATCACGTGAAGTATTAATACCACTTTACAAGGCCTTGGTAAGGCCACACTTGGAATACTGCATCCAGTGTTGGTCACCACGATGTAAAAAAGATGTTGAGACTCTAGAAAGAGTACAGAGAAGAGCAACAAAGATGATTCGGGGACTGGAGGCTAAAACATATAAGGACCGGTTGCGAGAATTGGGTATGTCTAGTTTAACGAAGAGAAGGACAAGGGGGGACATGATAGCAGTATTCCAATATCTCAGGGGCTGCCATAAAGAAGAGGGAATTTAGCTATTTTCCAAAGCACCTGAAGGCAGGACAAGAAGCAACGGGTGGAAACTAATCAAGGAGAGAAGCAACCTAGAACTAAGGAGAACTTCCTGACAGTGAGAACAATTAATCAGTGGAACAGCCTCCCTCCAGAAGCAGTAAATGCTCCAACACTGGAAGTTTTTAAGAAGAGACTGGACAGCCATTTGTCCGAAATGGTGTAGGGTTTCCTGCCTGAGCAGGGGTTGGACTAGATGACCTCCAAGGTCCCTTCCAACTTTACTACTATTGCTATTACTAAAAGGGGAAAAAAATGGCGGACTGCATTGTTTGGCAACCCCCGTGAAATGATCGTTCAACCCCAAATGGGGCCCCAATCCACAGGTTGAGAACCACTGCCCTAGGAAGATATTCCTGGCAAATTAACCAGTGGAATGGCTTGTCTTCAGAAGTTGGGTGCTCCATCACTGGAGGTTTTCAAAAAGATATTTGTCTGAAATGGTATAGGATCTCTTACACGAGCAGAGGGTTGGACTAGAAGACCTCCAAGGTCCCTTCCAACTCTGTTATTCTATGTACTTCAGTGAAAATTTTGCCAAGAAAATTGCAAGGAGCTATCCATGAGGTCAGCAGGAATCAAAGACCAGAACAGCATCTGGAGGATCTCAAGTTGGAGAAGAAATGTATCATACAAGCCAATTTGGTATAAATATCTTCTCTTTCTCCCCATAGTGGAAGACCTGGAGAGAAATGATGGTTCCGAGGAGAAGCCGTATTACATGTCCAAGTCTCTCATGAAGATCCTGAACAAGAAAAACAAGAAGCCCAAGGACAAATAGAAAAGCCTGAGTCTGAAGGAAACTCATCACTTTACGTTATTGGTCCCCATCATTTCTTTTCATCCCGCATCAGAGACAACTTCATATACTTCCCTTCCCCTTCCCATGTTATGGCCTTCCACAAGATGACTTGAAACTTTTTGGGGTGGGGGGGCTATATTGCCATTTTCAGAAAACAGCCACCCATATGGCTGTTTATTGCACAGAATGTCTATTTATGAATAATTGATCTACTTAATTTCTCTCCTGTGCCATGCTTTCTTTGGAAACATTGTTTTGATCTCTGTCTTCCCAGACTCTTTCTGCTTCAGAGTAGGTCACTTCGCTTCCTTGGTCTGGGACCGTTCCTCATGGCTGTTTTGCACTTGTTCTGGTCAATTGTCTTTCCGATGGTCAAAATCAGGGCTCTTTTCTTAATCTTTGGTTGGCCACTTGCTCCATTTTTAGCTACGTTCTGGGACAAATCAGGCAGTGGTGAATCACAAGCTCCTTCTAAAACATCTCCTACAGAAGCACCTCTTCTCCTGTTGCCATCCCTGTGTGGGACAATCTCAGAAACATCCTGCTTCCCTGGCACACTGAGTGGATACCCTCTGGAAAAGTGTCTTGGATCAGATCTCCAGATGTTCTCCAGATATTTTGGATGTGAACTTCCGAGCGGAGTTGGAGTCCAATTCATTTTGATTGCTCAGCCCATCCTTCTTCAGCTTTGGTGACTGTTAGTACATAGCTGGCCTTTCCAATCTACTTAGAGGACTGTTCCTACCCCTTCTCTCTGATTTATATTTTTACCCTTGACTATTTTTAGATGATTAAGCCCTGTGTGTTGTTTAATTCCTGTTTCTGACTCCTTACCCGGCCAAAGATTTTTCTGAAACTGATAAATTATTCCAACGTGCCATCTTATATTTCAGATCAAATTGTTCTTTTTCCTGTTCAGCCAGTTCTCTCTCTCTGAATGTCTTACTGGTTGAATTGTTCAATATTGCACTAGCCAAGCACCAAATGAAAAATGGGCTTCGGTATACTGAATGTTGGCCATCTTATTTTCTAAGTGCCTTTGTGGATAAACTCCATTTCACTTTCTGATATTACAATGCCAACGTTTGGCCCGAGTTTATGATTTGCAAATTGCCTTAATTCAGACCAATTTCCGGTCACCTCTATTTTTTGCTTTGTTTCCCTCACTTTTACCTTCCTACAGTCTCTGCACTGGTTTTCCTCTCCTCCCCCCCCCCCAGGAGTATTCCTTGCCAGTAAAAAAATAATCATAAAAACAATATTGTGGCCGGATGCAAAACACAGCCACTGCTCTTCAGATCAATCTTTATCTTATGCAAGGATGCTGTTGCTGCAATTTTTATACAAAGAATACGTGTATATTAAATATGATTTTAAATATGAGTGATTGCCGTCTTCTTTCTCTGTGCAGGCTCTCTGTTTGCTAATAAAAATAATTTACCATGCTCCAGTAATCCCACTCTTTATCACAGGCCCTGGTTCCTGTTATGAGTTCAGGAGCCAAAGTCAGCTGGGTAATTTTGGGCCATTCTGTCTCAGATAGTTACTGTGGGGGAACATAGGAAGAGGAAGGAGTGTTTTGTGTGTTTGCTACCTTGAGTCTGTAACAATAATAAAGGTGTGATACAAATAAATTAATAAATAAGGAATAAAGGAATCAGGGAAGCTGGATGCCAAGAGCTGGAGAAGGTGATAGACCACTGCCTCTTGGAACTGAACTCCAAACATCTTCAAGTTGAGACTCTAGAAAGAGTACAGAGAAGAGCAACAGAGATGATCAGGGGACTGGAGGCTAAATCATATAAAGAACGGTTGCTGGAATTGGGTATGTCTAATTTAATGAAGAGAAGGACGAGGGGGGGACATGATAGCAGTGTTCCAATATCTCAGGGGCTGCCACAAAGAAGAGGGAGTCAAGCTATTTTCCAAGGCGCCTGAAGGCAGGACAAGAAGCAACGGATGGAAACTAATCAAGGAGAGAAGCAACCTAGAACTAAGGAGAAACTTCCTGACAGAACAATGAACCAGTGGAACAACCTGCCTCCAGAAGCGGTGAATGCTCCAACACTGGAAGTTTTTAAGAAGAGACTGGACAGCCATTTGTCCATTATTATTATTATTATTATTATTATTATTATTATTATTATTATTAAGTTGCTAAGTTTGAAAAGCATTACTGTAATTGGGCAAGCTGATGGTCCAGGCAGATCTGTTAAGTACCCGTGGCTTTATAGATCAAAACCAGCAACTAAAAATATATCCAGAAATCAAGTGACAACCATTGCAGGGACCCACAAACGTGTGTTTTCTCCCAATGCCAGGAGTCAGTTAATGTACCAGCCAATTGGACAAATTGTAATTTTCAGATAAGTCTTTAAGGGCGGCCCCATGTAAATCACATTGCAGTATTCTACCTGTAATGATAGCATGAATCTCTGTAGCCAGGTCCTTTTACACCACTAGCCTATCAGCTTATCAACTCAAAAGTTTATTTTAGTGGAATAAATCAGGGAGCGGAGAAAAGCTTGGTCTAGCAGAGCTCCCAAGTGGTGCGAAAGACAGCCTAATGCTCTTTTATATACAGCTAATCCTCAGCTTATGACCATAATACAGCTTGTTCATAGTCATAAATTGTGACAGTCATAACTCATGTGACCAACCCAATCTTACAACATTTTTCTTGCAGTTCTTAAGTGAATCCACATGGTCATTAAATGAAGCCACAGTTGTTAAGTGAATGCCACACAGTCGTTAAGCAAACCCATTGTCACGGGATGTTAACGACCTTAAATGCAGGCCAGTTGCCGAGCAACTGAAATGCGGTCATGTGACTGTGGAAGAGGGGGCAACTTCTTGAACTTTGCAACTGTGTTGTAAGTAGCTTTTGGGGGTCCATGGTAACCTCAAATGGTCGCTAAGCAGCCAGTCACAAGTCAAGGACTACCTGTAAAGTAAAATGCACGATGAACATCTGGGTAAGATTCCTGGGGAACCATACAAAACCAGGACTAACCTCTGCTTTATGCGCATGGCTACTTTCTTAAACTTCAAAAATATCCTGCTTTTTAAACAAGGGACCAAGGCAGTTAACTGGAACTTAAAACATTTTTAAAGGAAGCTGTGTAACCCCCATCCAGATATTCTACAGCAGTGGCCCCCGATCTTTTGGGTACCAGAGACCAATTCTGTGGAGAGGGTTTTTTCCCATGGATCAGAAGGGGGCATGGTTTCATGTGCTGCCTGCATCCCGTGGATTGGGCTTTGTTTGTTTGTGTGGCCCAGTTTCTAGCATGCTGGGGCCTGGTGCCAGTCCACGGATTTGGAGTAATAATAATAATAATAATAATAATAATAATAATAATAATAGTAGTAGTAGTAGTAGTAGTAGTAGTAGTAAAGTTGGAAGGGACCTTGATGGTCTAGTAGTCCAACCCCCTGCTCAGGCAGGAAACCCTACACCATTTCGGACAAATGGCTGTCCAATCTCTTCTTAAAAACTCCCAGTGTTGGAGCATTTACTGCTTCTGGAGGCAGGCTGTTCCAGTGGTTAATTGTTCTCACTGTTGGTGACCCCTATTCTACAGCTCTTTGCTCCTGGCACCAGGCTGCCAATCTCTGACTTCGTGCAAAAGAAAATAGATTATTAATTGGAAAAGAGAAAAAAAAAGGTAGCATTACACTACATTTCCGAAGGTAAAGAATGTTTTTTTCAACAAGAGGGCTTTGGATCAGGATTCCAGCAGGCTCTGCTCTCTTCCTGCTTCAAACGATGTCTTCAGTCCCATGTCCTAAGGGAGCTAACATGATAGCTGTCTTCCAGTATTTGACGGGCTGCCACAAAGATGGGGGGGGGGAGAAACTATTTTTCAAAGCACCAGAAGGCAAGACAAGAACCAATGGATGGAAAGTAACCAAGGAGAGATTCATCCTAGAACTAAGGAGAAATGTTAACAGTGAGATCAATCCACCAGAGGAATGGGCTTGCCTTCAAAAGCTGTGGATGCCCCATCACTGGAGGCTTTCAAGAAGAATCTGGAAATCTGTTTGTCTGAAATGGAATAGACTCTTCTGCTTGAACAGGGGGTTGGACTAGATGACCTCCAAGGTCACTTCCAAATCCGTTATTCTGTACTTTTATGTTTTTCAAAACATACCTAAAGAATTCTCCCATTCCCAGTTTTATTACTGGAGCAAGACGTTGATGATGATGATCTCACAGTGCTTATGCTTTCCCACAAGTTTGCTCTTTGAGAAACTGAGGCACCAAAGCAGAACTTCAGCTTCCGTTTCAAAATTAGGAGACTGAAGCACCTTCCAGGATGCAGTGCTGGGATTTTCCTAAGCAAGAAGCCACAAATCAGAAGGCGAGCTTCCAAAGATAAGAGAGGCAGCCTTACTGTACAGGTAGTCCTCAACTTGCAACCATTATGTAGCCCAAAATGTCTGTTGCTAAGTGGGACATTTGTTAAGTGAGTTTTGCCCCATTTTACGACCTTTCTTGCCACAGCTGTTAAGTGAATCAGTGCAGTTGTTAAATTAGTAACACTGTTGTTAAGTGCATCTGGTTTGTGACTTTGCTTGTCAGAAGGTCACAAAAAAGGGGATCGCGTGACCCCGGAATACTATAACCGTCATAAATATGAACCGGTTGCCAAGCCTCTGAATTCTGATCACACGACCATGGGGATCAGCCCTCAAAAAAGTGACTTATGACCGTTTTTCACACGACCATGGGGATGGTCGTGTGAAAAACGATCATAAGTCACTTTTTTGAGGGCTGATGTAACTTTAAATGGTCACTAAACTAACTGTTGTAAGTTTAAGGACTATCTGTAGATTCAGCTTTTTTAAAAAGATCTGTTTTCTGAATTCTGGGCTAACCAGTAGTTCTGAAAGCCACAGAATTCCAGAAAATACAGCGAATCCCATGGATGGTAAAGGTTTTAATGCTGAATCTTTGGTTTTGGTTCTGGTCTGATCTTCATTAAAATGGGCCAGCCTGTCCTGAAAAAAACCCAAAGAAACCTCAAACACCTCAAGGGAGACTTTGCATTATAATTTTAATTTATTTCAGGCAGTGAATTTCTAAAGCAGCAAAATCTTCTGAGGAGCTCTCCTCACTACAGGGAGAGGCAACCCCATCAACATTCACCCAGCTGCACACACTTTCCCTCCCTCAGCAATGAGAATCAAAACTCCACCCCGTTTCTATCAACTTCTGCTCATTATTTCCATCCATCAAGTGACGGTTCTTTCTTTGGCATCTCTCGTTCTTTGGATCTTCTTTGGCTTCAAATGGGAGGAAGCAGGAGATGGCCTGAAAAATGAGAAAAAAAGAATAACATTATTACTGCTTTTTGAGGATCCCCCCCCATCCAAATTCTATAGTGTTGCAGGTGTTGTGAGATTCATCATTTCTGAAAGCCTAGGAAGGAACGCTGTGAACGGGAGAAGTTGGTTTGGCAAAGAACTGGATTGGAGCCAATGTAACTTCAGTTACACACGACATGACTGGTTGCAGAGCAGGCTGCAAGGTGTTTGAAGTTGGAGAGGACCTAGCCTTCTCAATCAGGAAGCATCCTCTAATCACGTCTCCCTTTTTAGCTGAGGGTTAGGGTGAGAAAGTAAAACTGAAAAGACGGGAGCAATACAGAGGAGGGTTATAAATGGCAGGTAATCCTTGATTTACAACCATTCGTTCAAAGTTACAGCAGCACTGGAAAAGTGATTTACAACTGGTTCTCGTATGATGGTTGTGGACTTCCCCCATATCCACACAATCAAAATTTGGGTCCTTGGCAGCTAGCTTGTATTTACAATGTCCAACTTTTCTCTCCAGTACATTTATCCTTCCTTCCTTCCTTCCTTCCTTCCTTCCTTCCTTCCTTCCTTCCTTCCTTCCTTCCTTCCTTCCTTCCCCTTTCCTGTGATTGCTCAGTGGTTAGAATGCAGTACTGCAGGCTAATTCTGCTGACTGCCAACTGCTAGCAATTCGGCAGTGCAATTCTGACCAGCTCAAGGTTGATTCAGCCTTCTATCTTTCTAAGGCCGGTAAAATGAGGACCTGGGTTGTTGGGGGGGGGGAATGATATGCTGACTCTGTACACTGCTTAGAGAGGGTTGTAAAGCACTGTGAAACAGTATATAAGTCTAAGTCAGTGGTTCTCAACCTGTGGGTCGGGACCCCATTTGGGGTCGAACGACCATTTCACAGGGGTTGCCAAACAACGCAGTCCGCCATT